TCTCTCTCTCTCTGACAAATAAATAAATAAAAATCTTAAAAAAAAAAGAAAAGAAGGTGCCTATATTTTTCACATTGGATTGGAGAAAGGAAGTTCCTAACAATGAGGCATAAAAGATAATAGATTGGGGATGTTTAGAGTGTCCTAAAGATTCTAAGGAGAATAGCTGGGACCTAGGAAGAAAATGTTCAAAACTATTTCTTGTTTAGAAAATGAGGTTAAAATTTTTATTATTGTTACAAAATATAGATCTAACACTGTGCTTTGAACTCTAGTTTCTTTTTAAATGTTAGCTTTCTATATTATTCATAGTAGGCCTGTGGTATTAACATGTGACAGACAATGCTGCTTATGCTTTAAAGCACTCCTGCCCTTTTTATTTTGTGAGCTATGATGATGTAAGTGAATACAGCCTGCTCTTCATTGTACCAAATTCTGTAAGATGCAGCTGTGGTCTACTGAAAAAAACAGAAATTACACATTTTCATTTCTTAGGCTTACCCACTTACAGAAAACTTATAATTACATGTAATAAATAAGTCTTCAGAAAAATTTTAATTTTGCAAAAAAATTAAAAATGAAAGAAAAATTAGAGAGGATTCTTATTCATTCATTCATTCATTCATTTAAAGTAGGCTCCACACCCAGAGTGGAACCCAACATGGGGCTTGAACTCATGACCTTGAGATCAAAACCTGAGCTGAGATCATGAGTCGGATGTTTAACCGACAGCTACCCAGGTGCCCTGAGAAGATTCATATTTTAATGATTGAAGACCACTCTACACAAAGATCCAATCGGGAAAAAATCCTTTTGATTATACTGCATAATCTGTTGCCTCATTACAAAATATCTCCTATATCTACTGATAGTTAATTAAAAATAAGAGAGTCTCTTCAACAAATGGTGCTGGGAAAACTGGACAGCAACATGCAAAAGAATGAAACTGGGCCACTTTCTTACACCATATACAAAAATAAATTCTAAATAGATTAAAGACCTAAACTTGAGACCTGAAGCCATAAAAATCCTAGAGGAGAACATAGGCAGCAACCTTTTTGACATGAGCCATAGCAACTTCTTACTAGATACGTCCCCTGAGGCAAGGGAAACAAAAGCAAAAATAAACTATTGGGATTTCATCAAAATAAAAAGCCTCTTCACAGTGAAGGAAACAATAAACAAAATGAAAAGGCAACCTATGGAATGGGAGAAGATATTTGTAAATTGCATATCTGATAAAGGGTTAGCATCCAAATTATATGAAGAACTTACAAAATTCAACACCCAAAAAACAAATAATCCAATTTAAAAATGGGCAGAAGACACGAATAGACATTTTTCCAAAGAAGACAGATGGCCAACAGACATATGAAAAGATACTCAACATCACTCATCATGAGGGAAATACAATTGAAAACTACAATAAGATATCACCTCACACCTGTCAGAATGGTTAAAATCAACTATACAAGAAACAACAGGTGTTGGTAAGGATGTGGAGAACAAGAAAAAAATCTTGTTTCACTGTTGGTGGGAATGCAAAGTGGTGCAGCCACTCCAGAAAACAGCAAAAGGTTAAAAACAGAACTACCCTATGATAGAGCAATTGCATTAAGTACGTACCCAAAGAATACCAAAATACTAATTTGAAGGGATACAACACATGCACCCCACTGTTTACAGCACCATCACTTACAATAGCCAAATGTCCATCCACTGATGAATGGATAAAGAAGTTGTGGCGC